AGAGGACCGAGGAGGGGCATGGAGGCTGCATCTTCCTTTGCTGGGTCTGGAGCGCCCTCTAGTGGTCTAATGACTTCAGGCCAACAGAGGGCTAGGTGTCTTCCTCCTCTGCCACAGCCCCAGTCCACACAATGCCCTTCCTGTTCCCTACTCCTCAGTCTTGGGACAGGGACATACAGTGGAACCTCGGTGATGGATGGCTGCTTCCAGCTTCTGAGAGTTGGTGGCAAACTCCTTATGTCCCTCTTAGGCATAAGAGGGACATACTTCTTCCTACTCTGCCCAGAGGCTACCCCAGGGAGGGTCAGAGTAGCAGCACTTCTGGAATAGGAGAACTCTCCAGCAGCCCAGGCTGTCCTATAACAAATACAGGTTTTCTGAGAGAGAATAAGTTCCCTGTCCCCGGAGACAGGCAAGCCCAGGCTGGGCACTCACCTAGTAGGACATGGCATCCTAGAGTTCCACGGACCCAGGGAGGCAGGATTTGTCACTACTAAAGTCCTTTCCTGCCTTGAGGTTTTAACATTGCGAGTTAGAAGGAAAGAGGAACTTCCCATGCTCCCAGGGCACAAATAAAAGGAGTCAGAGTCCTTAGTGACAGTGGCATTTATTACCCTCAAAGAGCCAGGCCTGGCTTGGGCTTCACTATGACCGTGTGATGCTAGGTCAGTGGATCAGTGGTCACTTAGGTGCCTCACCTTGGCCCTTTCTACCCACACGTGCAGGCTGGTGCGGCAGTGGGTGGGGCGCTCATGAGGTTCTCCCCCCAAGTTATAGCCCCCTCCAAGTATATAGCATCTCCCAGCCTTCTATCGTCCCTCTCCTGGGGAGACTCTGCCTACGGAAGGAGGCTGCTTCTAGCTCATGAATCCTTTCTTGCAACAGGAGAAACGGGAGCTAGAAAAGGACTTCCCAACAGTGGCCAATCCTCTTCTAGCAGGAGCACATCCTCTGGGGGCAGGCAGCAGGTTAGGCCTGAGTGTCGGGTTCCTCCACCCGAAGAGGCTCCTGGGCTGTATCCTCATGCTCCCCAGGCACCTGGAAGGCAGGAGGGGGTGGCGGGGGTAAAGGGGCAGCTCCAGGGGGGTGCACCCTAGAGGAGGAGCAGGCAAAGAAGGAAGAAGGCAGGTTGGGCCACAGGAGGAGAGGCAGGGAAGGGAGGGTCAGAGGGTGTGAGGGCTGCAGCTGTGCCTCACCTCCCAGTAAACCTGGTCCTCGTAGCACTGGGAGTCTGAGGGGTAGTCCAGGCAGGGCAGCTTCAGCAGCAGCCCTGGTGTTGGTAGGGGAAGGAGGATATGTGAGGCTTCTCCTCTTCTACTGTGGGGATATTTCTACCCACACTACAGGGCACAGAGGGGCTGGGATGCATGAGGTCAACATGGTGCCTGGTGCAGGCAAAACCCAGCTGTATTTGTTGAGCACCTACTATGTCCCAGGCCCTGTGCCAACAGCTTGCCCAGCACTGCCTTCCTGAGAAATCACAGCAACCCTGCAAGGTGAGTATTATTCCTGTATTACAGACAAAGAAACCAAGACTCAGAAAGTTAAATAATTTGCTCAAGTTTGTACTGTCAGTAATAGACCAAATCATGATTCCGTCATGAACCACAGCTGTTGAGCATTCTGTGGCCTCTCACATAGGAGGGGCACAGAAAATGTTTATTGAATAAATAAATTACTAAGTGAATGAATGAATCGAACCTGGTTAGAGAAGGAAAACCTGGATGAAAGCAGGAGGGTAGGGATGCTGAATCAGTTTTTATTTTGAAGGTCAAAAAGAATAAGGCCAAACTTGAGGAAGGACTGCGTGACCAGGGGCCCGGGGACAGTCTGCCTCCGTGGAAGCTTTCTGTGCTCTGGTCTAGTGGTGAGCGAGGCAGCCCCCTTCCTGGCCTGCCCCGGTGGGGGATAGCGCAGCCTGCCCGGGTTAGGCCTCAGCCTGAGGCTGGGCTGCCCTCTAGTGGGTAGAGGAAGCAGCACAAGGGAGCCACAGATTGGAAAGAGAGGGTCTCACTCAGCTCCTAGCAGCTCCCCAGCCTCCCTTGGCACCTAGAAGGAACAGGCACCCACCTGCACCTCCCCACTGGAAGGAGGTTACCCCTGAACCCACAACCCAACCCCTCACCTGGTACAATGTAGGTGCTCAATAAATACCTGTGAGTGAATGAATCAGTATGGGGCATAGGATCCAATGGTCTGTCCTCCAGAGATTCCCCCTCCTCTGTCTTCTCCCCTCCCTGGAGCTCCTGCCAGCCAGCCCCCGACCAACAGCCATCCAAGGTCACTCACCTCCAAGGCCCCCGCCCACAGAGGCAAACATCAGTGTGACAAACAGCCCAAAGAGCTGGTGCATGGCCTGTGACGTGGCACTGCGCTGGCCCTCAGCTATGAGTGGAAACACATTCTCCAGGCTGCAGGGAGACCAGATTGCGGAGACCCGGAGACCCGGGGTGGGGGAGCAGGGATGGAGCACAGGGCCAGGGCTGGTCATTGCACCAGCACTCGCACAAGTGGACATGAAGCAGCCTAAAGTGCCTCAAGGGAGGCTGAGTCTCACCTCCAGGCCTTTGCTCAAGCCAGGCCCACAGCCTGGAACACCCTCTCACCCCTGTACGCCAGTGGACACACGCACACCTTTCAAGACTCAGTTTGAGGGTTGCTTTTGCCCACCCATTCCTCTGAACTCTGTTATGCAAAAATAGATCTGTAGGGTCATCATCTGTAACTGACCCTGTAGTAACTCTTTTTTTTTTTTTTCACGGCTGCCACCCCGACGCGTCTCGCCGGTACTGCAGCACCGTGCGCGCCACGGCCTCGGCCTCGCCCATCTCGGCGGCCAGCGCGGGGTCCATGGCGCGGGGCGCGGGCGCGGGAGGTGCGCGGTGGCGGCGGCGGTGCGGGGTTCCCTATAGTAACTCTTAACACTCGTTTTTTTTGTTGTTGTTTTTTTTTTGAGACAGAGTCTCACTTTGTTGCCCAGGCTAGAGAGAGTGCCGTAGTGTCAGCCTAGCTCACAGCAACCTCAAACTCCTGGGCCCAAGCAATCCTGCTGCCTCAGCCTCCCAAGTAGCTGGTTTGAGACAATCTTGCTTTTGTTGCCCAGGCTAGAGGTGAGTGCCGTGGCATCAGCCTAGCTCACAGCCACCTCAAACTCCTGGGCTCAAGCAATCCTTCTGCTCAGCCTCACGTAGCTGGGACTACAGGCATGTGCCACCACGCCCAGCTAATTTTTTCTATATATATAAGTTGGCCAATTAATTTCTTTCTATTTACATAGTAGAGACGGGGTCTCACTCTTGCTCAGGCTGGTTTCAAACTCTATATCTACTTTTTACTTCCATGAGATGTTTTTTTTTCAGCTTCCACATATGAGTGAGATCATGCAGTGTTTAACTTTCCATTTCTTGGCTTATTTCACTTAACACCATGTTCTCCAATTCCATCCACATTGCCACAATGACAACTTTCGTGTCTTTTTCATGCCTGAATAGTACTCCCTTGTGTCTATATTCCACATTTTCTTTCTCCATTCATCTGTTACTATTGGGTTTTAAGATCGGGTGATCTAGGGAGTGGGTGGATCTAGGGAAGCAGGGTTGGGGGGACATTGGGGTTGGCCAGTGGGCCTCCTAGACCTCATGACCCTCAGCAATGGGGCTGGCAGCTGAGCTGCAGATCTCTAATTTCAGCAACACACCCCGCCCTTCTGCCAGGGCTTGCAAAATCATTTCCTATTGCCCAAATATATGGCCAAAGAAGCATAAAAGTGTGTTTCAGTTATTGATTGCATTCCAAAGTTCATAAATCTTTTGACTTTTTGTTGATGCCTCCTTCAGATTAAACAAAAAGGTGACCATGATGTTTTTAAAATTATCTTACCTTTTTCTACAAGAAATTTGAGGTCATCTGCAACAAAAACATGTATAAAGAAAAGCAGAGAAGGAGACACAAATAATGAACCTCCATAAGGGCCCGATGGTTGTTACAGTTGATATTTTCAGTGTCACCCTTGAGCTTCCAGGAAGCCAAGAAAAGAGGGAAATATGAACAGTTATGTTGTTGCTCAGTCAGAACCAAGGAGCCTCGCATGGGATTCTCTGTTCTTTTTGAGTGGTCTGTCCTTCCGAGCTCTGTGAGAGCAGAGATGTGGACTGCCTTGATGTGACGAGCCAAGTTCCCACAGGCCTGGTTCCACGGGTGCTCCACTCACACTCATGTCTCACTATGAATATGGACAATAGACGGGTTTCCTCCAGGAGAGTGACGTTCCTAAGACTAGTTCCAAAAGAGAAATTTCTATGTGGAGCCCTAAGCTGGAGTGTTAGGGTAATGCATGGGCCCTGTTTCTCATACAAATTTTCAACAAATGTGCGCCATGACACGCACAGCAGCCAATCATGAATTGCTATTCTCTAGTGTTTCTTTTTTTTTTTTTTTTTTTTGAGACGGAGTCTCACTCCGTTGCCAGGCTAGAGTGCCATGGTCAGCCTAGCTCACAGCAACCTCAACTCCTGGGCCTCAAGCAATCCTGCTGCCTCAGCCTCCCAGTAGCTGGACCTACACAGGCCTGCTGCCCCAATCGCCCGCTTAATTTTTTCTATAATATTTTTAG